AGGAGAAAAAGGAGGAGGAGAGACAATTCGAGCAAGGCTTGGAAAACCGGCCCCACGTGTATCCCATGTGCTTGCCCAGTGCCGCTGGACCCTAGGCATTGCGGTGTTCGCTGGCGCTGTGTTCGCAGGCTTTGTGGTGTTCACAAGCGCTGTGGTGTTCTCCGGCTGTTTGTGTAGCGTTCACAGGCTCTGCGGCATTCACAGACGTTGTGATCGCAGGCGTTGTGGTGTTCACAAGCGCTGTGGTGTTCTCTGGCTGTCTGTGTAGTGTTCACAGGCGCTGTGATATTCGCAGGCGTTGTGGTGTTCACAGGCACGTTGCGGCTGTCGGGTCGCAAGCCATGGTGGTGTTCGTGGGCATCGTGTGGTGCTCACGGGCATATTGCGGCGCTCCAGGCGCACCCCAGGCGTGACGTGATCGGCGCGAGGCCCCCCCCTCCTTCCGATCACGCCCGCCACCGGCCCGAGTAAACGAACGGGTTCAAGGCGCGCGCGCCGAGGGGGGCCCGCGCGGCGCCAGAGCCAAGGCTGCGCCGATGAAGAACAGCCGCCCAGGGGTGGTGAAAGCGCGGTTGAGAGCGCCGTGGCGAAGACTGTGATCGAGATGGGCGTCAAAGTGGTGGGCATCGCCCGCGCGCTCGAGCAGCTGTCGTTCCAAATCGGGCGCGAGCTCCTGTTGTTGCTGAGCGGCCTGGGCGCACAATGCGCCAGGCGCGATGCAAAACAGCGGTTCTGGCGCCAGAGTTGGAAGATCTTGTGCAAGGGGCGGACTGCGAAAAGCTGGGCGGGGGCGAGGTTTGGACGCAGTATTCGCAGCGCGCCCGCGCCGAGGTCGAATTCGACCCGATGGTGTGGGACTTCGGCCAGTCTGCGAGGCGAGCCACGGCTGCTTCTGGTTGTGCCCTGCGGCTGGTCTGGCCGAATATGCTCGCCGCGCGTGCCAGCCTGGGCTCTGCCGTGCGAGAGGCCGGCGCAGCAAGCGGTGGGCGAGCTCAGGCGCACGGGTCTGCAACGATGCGCCGACGCTGGCGCGCGTGGCGCTTTTCGCCGTGGGGCGTCGCGGCGGAAACCCTCGGGACAATATTTTGCGGCGGCGGCGCCGCGGTGCTCCTCGCGGACGGCGTGGAGGCCATGATCTATCATGCAGTTCGCCGGCCTGGATGCCGGGGGCGCTGGGCGCTCCGAGGCGACATGCCTTCGCTGGGTCCAACTCGTCGCCTTGGAGTTGGCCGTTCGCATCGCGATCGTTCCGGTCACTCCACCGCGTGCGCGCGGGCACTGGGCTGTCCCGACACGTGGCCTCGAAGGCGCTGGCGGAACAACTCACAGTGTGTGAAGTCCGCTCATATCACAAGTCTATCATTACATACCGCAAACGTATCGGCTCAGGTAGTGGTACAACATACCGCGCTGTCTCCTTCGCAGCGCCCTGGAAAAAAAAACTCGCGACCCTCTTCCTTTCCTACCTCTACCTGCGGGATATTGTGTAGGTTCGACTCTTTGGTCGTTAACCTGCATACACACTTACTTGGGCAACAACACTGTGCGCTGTGTGCACTTGGCACGTTTTTTTTGATGACCGTGCCAGGTTGTCTGCCAGTGTCGGTGGAGCGCCGACGCCTGCGGCCGCGTGTGCTGGTCGCGCCCGTCTTTTGAGCGAACTGGCCGCGAGGCCGTTCCGACGTGCGCTGGGGACCCGCCGTGATTCTCTGATCAGGCCCGCCGCTGTGTGCCAAAATGCCTTCGGTCATCTGGCGCGCCACAGGGGCCGCGGGCAGATGAATACCGCCCCCAGCAGTGGAGGTGGGATTTCATTGCCCGCGATTGTGGCGGTGGCGGAATTGCCGGCGCGGGTGTACTTACCGATCGATCGGCGTGGTATCGATGGATGGTGCTATGACAGCTCGACCGACGGGCCGTGAGGCCCACTTTGAGATCGATAGTGACACCGATCGCGGCTTCGACAGTGGTATCGATTAATCGGTAATGGGGTCGGCTGGTGTTGAGGCCGATCGATGCCCCTTCCGATTGATAGCCAGGTCGCTCGATGGTAAAATCGTTGGCGAGATCGCCGGTGACATCGGTCGTGGGACCGAAGGTGAGATCGATTGAGTGAGACGTTTCTTCCCCCCCCTGCAATTCCTTTCTCACCCGACGGGTGGTCGCAGATGTATTCTGTATCTGGAAGGATTGACGGTGGGTCCAGTATAAGATTGATGGGCTTATTTTCCACCACCATCACCACCATGGGATGGAGGGGGGAATGAGGTGGAGGATGAGGAGGAAGAAGAGGAGGAGGAGGAGGAGGAGGAGGAGGAGGAGGAGGAGGAGGAGGATGAGGAGGACCCCCTCCTCATCCTACTTATGGTGGTGGCGGTGGAAACAAACCTGCCAAAAATGGTGTCTCGCCGGAGCGGCGGGCGCGCGGGACGTTCGTCTAGCACGTGGGGAGATGCCCGCAGTGGAACGGAAGATTCGTGTAGCTTCGCGGGATGCACGTCCGGACCACGTACAGTCCAGTCGTTGCGGTGCCTCTTGGGAGCTTGTTTGTGGCCTCTTGGAGGTGTCTTGGGTGGGGGCTTCTTGGAGCCTCTTGGGGACGTCTTGGGCCGTCTTGGGGCGCTCGTGTTGCGCGTGGCCCATTCGGAGGCCGTCCTGGGGGCCCCTCGCTGCCGTTCAGGGGTTCTCTTGGGGTCCTTTTGAGTTGGGCCGTCCTGGTGGTCTCTTGGGCCATCCTGGAGCCTTCTAGGGGGCTTCTGGGCCGTCTTGGGGCGATCTTGGAGGCCTCTTGGGCCGTATTGTACGCTGTGAAAGCCCAAGTGGCGAATGTACTAAAATCATACGCTTCCTTGCGGGAATGTGACGATTTTTGCTTCTGGGTGCCCTCTTGGGGCGCCTCTTGGGGGCCTCTTGTGGCGTCTCGGGGGCCTCTTGGGCCGTCTGGGGGCCATCTTGGGCGTCTTGGAACGATCCATCGGCCACTCGGGGCCCTCCTGGACCATCTTGCGGGCCTCTTGGGGCCCTCATGGCCCGTCGTGAGGCCCGTGATGCGTTCGCCCGGGGCCAGCCCGACCCCCCCCCCAAAACGACCCGGCTGGGCCCCGGGGGGAGGGGTTCGGGGAGGGGGAAGCGTCTCACACGCGGATGATCCCAAGGGGTCGGCGGATTTCTCTGGACTTCTAAAGCTTGGGTCGGGAGAGTGTATCGCAACATCATTGCTGCATCTTGGGTTTTAGTCTCTTCCTCTTCCGCTTTTTCCCCTATCCCAATCCTCCTCTTTTTTCCTTTCTCTAGAGGAGGAGGAGGAGGAGAAGGAAAAGGAGGACGAGCAGGAGGAGGAGGAGGAGGAGGAGGAGGAGGCGGAAGAAGAGGACGAGGAGGATGAGGGGGAGGAAGAGGAAGGTTAAGATGGACTGGATGACCTCGACTTTGGGTGTCCCCAATCGTCCATGCGTGGCCAAACAAATACGACGGTGTCGAAAGGGATAGAAGTGCAGTCGCAATAATTGACGGACCCCGAAATTTGACTCAAACCCAACACATAAAACATTTTTTTGGGGATGATGGGGGTCTGTTGGCGGCTCGTCGACCTTGATATGTGGGCGTTGCGCGATCTTCACAACGACCGTTTTCGCCGAACTTCAGACTCTGGGACCATTTTAAGTCGATCCAGCACGGAAAAATGAAGTCCAGGTCTACAGTCGCAGCGTCGGATCTCCGCGTCTGTCGGCGGCTCGCAGGAGGCGGTGGTGCGGGAGGCCTTCCTTGCCTGCCAGGGAAAAGCCCGACGCCGAGGTATTCCGCGACACCGACAAGCTGCTGGATCATTTCAGGCGTGCAACGTTTCAGGAGTTGCCGAAGGAGAATCCAGGGATAAACCCTCTCAGAGGCCCCCTCGGCGCCCCGCCAAGCGCCCCCCCGTTGCTCCCTCTCGGCCAGCCGCCCCCCGCTCGTTCCGGACCCGCCTGCGCGCCCCCCGGGAGGTCCGCCAGAGGTCCGCGCGGGCCTTTGCCTGGAGCTCGGCGCTCGCGGCGGGGCACGCCCCGAGGGCCGGAGACGGCGGGGCTCGAGGATGGAGGTCCGATCGAGGGGCCCTTCTTCTCCACCTCCCTCCGAGCGTGCAAGTTTCCGACTCCAGCTCCCCACATTCCGACTTCGGCCGAGTTCCGAGTTCAGACCCGAGGCGCCCCGGCGCACCCGCCGTTCCCTAGTATACAAGGGACGCCCTCTGGGCGACATCGGCGTGCTCCGCTCCGCTCCGCTCCCCCCCCTTTCCGAGCAGCCCCCCTGTCAGAGCCCGGCGGCCTTTTTGGCCCGAGGACGGGCGGCCAGTCCGGTGGGGAGGTGAGGGGGGCCAGGCCTGCTGAGAGTGCCTGCCCCTCCTCGCCTCCCCCCCCGGGGCTCACCGCCCAGAGGAGGCCGGGTCGGCTTCGTCCGTCCAGCCGAGCGCAGAGGGCCGAAGCTCGAGGCTCGAGGGTCGAGGGTCGAGGTCGAGGGGGGCGCCTGGCGGAGCTGGCCCGGAGCCGAGGGGGGCCCTGCCCGGGAGGCCCAGCGCAGCGAGAACGGCCACCGGTTCCACAGGAGAGCGGCGCGGCGGCTTCCTTCGGTCCCTCGCCCCCCGATCTGGCCCGTGTAAGCATGCATCGGCACATGCGTGCGCATGCGTGCTTGCGCAGACATCCAGCGTCTTGAACGGAATCAGTGCGCAGGTGTTTCGTCGTGTTCGGCCTCCAGGGACCCTCGCGGGGTCTCAGGACAATCGAAGACCGGCTCAGGATGAAGAGCTGGCCCTTGGAAAGAGTCGAGACAGCGTCGCATGTGTATGTGCATTTTGTTGCTCATTTGTCCTCGTCGTCGCCGTCGTCGTCGCCGTCGCCATCGTCGTCAGTATCCTGCTCCTGTCCCTCGCTTTTCCTCCCCCCGACCTCCAGGAGTCATGATCCGTGGCGAAGAGATACCAATACCCGTGCCCTCGAGGTCTGGACACCGATGCGCGATCCCATGGATAAGCGATCCTGTGGACAAGTTTCGCGCGGGGCAGCCTCGCAGAGCCGCCCAGTATCCAAAGCGATCGCGGCCTGTGGGCTCCTCTTCCGCAGAGCTCCAGGAGCTCTCGACCCCTCCCCGCAGGGACCGCATTCCGGAGGAGTGCCAGTTGAGACAACGGCGGGTGCGACTGCGGCATCGCATTCATTATCAGCCCGAAGCGCACAGGTCCGACACCAAACCGTGGACTCATACCGAGCAGTCAACGTGCACTCGGAGTCGGATTGGTAGGCGACGCTGCGGCGCATTCGACCCTCCTTTTCGCAGTAGCGCGATTCCGCATTGCCTCCATGACGCCAGCGCGGGATCCGTGGCGGATGAACGTATTTTGCGATGTCAGGCGCAAGTTCGTGTGTGAAACCCCAGAGTTCGCGTGAACCTCTCGCGAAGTCCCTCTAGATCCGCACTAGACATGCTGGGAGCCTTTCAGGATCTTTTTGGATCTTTACAGCGCCCTGAGATCATGGCGTCGCAACTTTTCCACACTGGGCGGTCTCGCCCAGATTCAAGCCCCTTGGACCTGACGAATTGATCCAGCTTGAGAAGTGTCGCAGAGAGTTGGGATCTGGGACCTTCGATCGTAATGCTTTAAAAAGCTGTGATCACTTTGCGTCGTCGGATCTAAGGGGAAATCACTTGCATACCCCAGGAGCTCAGGGCCTGCACCCGGCCTTGCTCCTCGACCCACGGCGAGCTCTCGCTTTGCGCAGGGCTGCTGGCTGCGATGGGGGCCTGCTTACTAAAACGCGCTGGTCACGCTCTGGACGTGCTCCCCTCCCTCTCCCAGCACTTCTTCTCTCTCCTCCGCCTGCTGTGCCCAATGCAGCGCCGTTGCATCCCACGCCTGCCCCCGAACGCGGTGAAGACTCGCTGCTGCGACGCACGCGCTGACCCGCCGCAGCCACTTCGCAACCCGTCGCGTCGGGGCCGCGAGGGTCGGTGATGGCCTCGGGTGGTATAGTAGTCTAAGGCGCGGTCAAAGTGCGGTTGTGGTGCTGTTATTGTCTCACGTGCGCACACCGCGCCAAGGGCGAAACGTGGGGGTGGGGGGGGGGGGCGGCCATCGGAGCACCTGATCGTGTTGGGGGGGGCGTTTTGAGGGGGATGGAGGGGCGCCTCGCACCATCAGCTCTGGGTACGGTAGGGTCCTGTCGTGTCGACCAGCGGCGATCCCGCGTCCGGCGTTCAACGTTGAACGTCACCCGCGACCCAGAATCGGTCGATGTTTAAGGATCCGACGTTTCAGAGACTGCCCATCGTTCAAGGTTGCTCGATCCCCGCGGTGTCAGAAATCAAAACCGGGTCGACACGACACGAACCAGCCGTAGCGAGTTGAAACTTCACAGCAGGCCTGTTTGGAGAGAATGGCTTGTTCATGGGCCCTCTCTCGAAGGCTCGTCGTCGTCGTCGTCGTCGTCGTCGTCGTCGTCGTCGTCGTCGTCTTGATTTATCCGAATGGCGCCAACTAAGCACATGTCACGCTAATGGCCAGACCACTCCTGAGCTCAGCATCGGTGTAGCTGTCTTTCTGGTCAAGGCAGGAGGGCGCATGCACCAATATTGGGCATTGGATGGGCCTGGCCAAGGTTTGTGTACGTGTATGTTCTTCTAAGTAGAGGGGTCCCCGCGCTTCCGATCCAACATGTTTTCAGTAGTGGGAGGGGGAGGAGGAGAAGGAGGAGGCGGAAGAGGGGGATGAGGACAGAGAAGAGATTAGGAGGAGGAGGAGGAAGAGGAGGAGGAAGAGGAAGAGGAGCAGCAGCAGCAGCAGGACGAGGAGGAGGAGGAGGGGGATGATGTGGAAGAAGCGGATGACGAGGAGGAGGATGCGGAGGTATTGGACCATGATGGGGTAGCAAACATGGATGAGGAGGAATTCTCTACCTCCCCACACCTCCGATGTCTGGACCATTATTCAATATTGTGTCTCCAGAAGTCCTGACCCTTCCCCCGGCGCCGCTTCTTCGCACCGAGCAGTTTTTTTTGACGGGCCCAGGGCCGGGCGGGGGCTCCAGGAGGCCGAAAACGGCAAGCATTCTGCGACGTCTGATATCGGGGCCTCTCTCGGGGCCGCCAGCGATCCAATTCGATTCGGTTCGCTGGCAGGGGCAACGAGTCCGGTCTGACGCCATCCTTTTCGGTTCGCCTGCGTCGGCCGAGGTAAGCCCGAGCTGGGCGCGGCGATCCGACTTCGCTCAGATGCGGGACGATCCCCCGGCGATGCGATCCGTTTCCGATCCGAGCGCACGAGGCGAGGAGGAGGAGGAGGAGGAGGAGGAGGAGGAGGAGGAGGAGGAGGAGGAGAGGAGGAGGAGGAGGAGGAGGAGGCGGAGGGGAGGGGAGGAGGAGGAGAAGGAGCAGGAGCAGGAGCAGGAGGGATAGGAGGAGGAGGGGGGGAGGAGAGGAGGAGTAGAGGAGGAGGAGAGAGGGAGGAGGAGGAGGAGGTATGGAGGAGAGAGGGAGGAGGGGAGGAGGGAGGAGTCATCAAGCATGATCAAATCCCTGACCCTAATCACACAATGACGTCGTGGCCTAACGTAGGTTCATTTTTAGGTCAAACACTTGGGTAGTTTTGTTTGTCAGATTTGCAATTCGCCTGGCACATGACCCAACCATATGCAGTTGTGAGGACCGCAGTTGTACATACCGTCTTGGGTGGAGCTCTCTATGGGGCCACGAAACGTGTGAGGTGTGCGTGTGTGCCGCAGTGAGCGGGGGGGGGGCATGCGGGCTGCGCCATTGTGGCCTAAGGTCGAGCTCCCTATGGGGCCACGAAGCGTGTGAGGGCGGTGCCGACATGAGCAGTTGGGGCGCATGCGGGCGGTGGCACTGGGGCCTTGGGTGGAGCTCCCTGTGCGGCCACGAAGCGTGTGAGCGGTGTGCCGAAACGGGATTGTTGCCCACATGTGGGCTGCGCCACTGGGGCATTGGCTGGAACTCCCTCTGGGGCCACGAAGCGTGTGAGGGGTGTGCCAAAACGGGGCTGTCGCCCACATGCGGGCTGCGCCACTGGCCTTAGGTGGAGCTCCCTATGGGGCCACGAAACGTGTGAGGAATGTGCCTGAACTGATGATGGGAGGAGGCGGGAGGGGGAGGAGGAAGGAAGGAGGGAGGGACGCGGGGACTGTCTTTTCAAAGCGAGGACCCAGCACTACAGGATGGCCCGAACAAAGCCATACCCCTCATGTTTTTCAGAGTCCCCTCCCATGGATGAGGAGGAGAGAGGGAGAATGAGGAGAAGGAGGAGGGATACTGAGGAGGAGGAGGAGGAGGAGGAGGAGGAGGAGGAGGAGGAGGAAGAGGAGGACGAGGAGGAGGAGGAGGAGGAGGAGAAATGCAAGACGTTGGATGTCTGGGCCGCCCTCCTGGTTGCCGCCAGGAACGAGCGGGAGTCTGCCCTGCTGCGCCAAAGACGGATCGAGGAGCAGTCCGTGGCTCTCACGGGCCTGCGGGGCGCGGGGCTGGCCAGCGTCAACCCGAGGAGCTCCCTCTCAGGGCGGATCATCAAGGGCTTCCTCCTTCTCCTCTTCGTCCTCCTCTGCCTCTTTTTCCTCATCGTCACCATCACCCTCCGCCTGCTCTTTCGTCTATTCCTCATTAGCATCGTCGTCATGCTAATCGCCATCATCACCAACATCATCACCATCAATATCATCGCCATCATCACCACTGTGAGTTGCATCCGCAACATCTTCATCACTACCATCATCGTTATCACATCATCACCAGCATCCGCATCATCATGAGCATAATTATCCGCATCACCATCTTCGTCACCATCAGTAGTGCCAACATATCCGCCATCGTCATACTCATCATCCTTTATCCGCATCATCGTCATCACCACCCCCATCATCATCATCAGCATCATCGTCATCATCAGCATCGCCATACTACTCGTTATCATCATCATCGACACCATCATGACCGCCACCACTACCAAGATTACCATCACCATCACCATCACGACCATAGTCATCATCGCCATCGCCATCAGCATCCGCGGCATCATCAACATCATCAGCATCATGATCAACACCATCGTCATCAGCATGATCATACTCATCATCATCAACATCATCATCGCCATCGTCACTACCCGCACCATCACTATCATCAACACCATCATCACCATCAGCATCACATCATCTTTATCGTCATCATCATCATCATTGTCCTCCTCAGCATCATCCGTCTTATTATCATCCGCACTAGCATCCGCCCCATCACCACCTTCGCCATTAACAGTAGTAACATCATCATCATCATCATCATCATCATCATCATCATCATCATCACCACCGCCATCATTATTATCCGCATCATCACAACCACCAGCCAACTCCGAAACTATCATCATCACCATCATCATGGCCATTCCCGCCATCATCAGCGTCAGCAGCAGTATCAGCATCAGCCGCATCATCAGCATCATCACCGCCACCACCATCATCAGAATCATCATCCTCATCAGCATCACCATACTTAATATCATACGAATGATGCCGATGGTAAAGACAGTTCAATACTGATGATGGTGGTGATGATGATGATGATGGTCAAGATGACGGTGGCGGTTGTGGTTTTACTTACTATGCTGATGATGCTGATGATGATGAAGAGGATGCTGATGATGATGCTGATGATGCTGCTGCTCATGATGATGATCATGATGATGCTGATGATGATGCTGTTGTTGATGATGCTGCTGCTGATGATGATGATGATCATCATCATCATCATGATCATGCCATGATGATGAGTAAGACGATGATTAAGGTTATTTTTTGAGTATTTTTATGACCATTATCATTGGTTTGTTGTTGGTGTTGTTGTGGTTGTTGTTCGGTAGGGCGTTGACACGGGCCCCGGCTTGTTGTTGAGATCTTCGTCTTCTCTCAGAACTTAAGTACTTATCCCTAAGGGTAAGCACAGATCCAGCAACCGAGGGCTTGCCCCACGGGGCCAGAGAAAGGGTTGTCACTGGGGCGGCAGCGCAAGGTGCTCCACGGGGCCGGAGAAGGGGTCGGCATTCCTGGCGCGTTTCCAGTGGTTTCCCTAGGATTTCCGCAAATCCCTCAGGGTTCCTTTGTATTCCTGAGGACCCCTCCGGAATCTCTAGGATCTCCAAGGATTCCTTAGGACACCCAGGATTCCTCGGGATTCCTCAGGAGCCATTCCGCAGGACCCCCGAAGATTCCTCAGGCTCCTTCCGGATTCCCCAGGATTCCTCAGGATCCCCCAGGAATACTTTGGATATTCTTTTGGATCTCCCCATGGGGTTCTCACGATTCCGTTGGGCTCCTCAGGATTCTTCAGGATATCTTCGAATTCATCAGGATCCCCAAGGATTCCTCAGGACACCTCAGGACTCCTCAGGACTCCCAAGGGTTCCTCAGGATTCCCCAGGACTTTCCCCCTCCAAATGAGTCGCATGGATTCTTCCTCAGGATCCACAGCGATTCTTCAGGATCCCCCAGGATTCCTCAGGATGCTGAAGGCCTCCTTAGGTTTCCAAAGGGTTCCTCAGGATCCCCTCTGGGTATCCCTCAGGATTCCTCAGGATTCCTTAGCATTCTTCAGGATTCCACACGATGTATCAGGATCCCCAAGGCCTCCTCTGGACTCATCAGGATTCCCAAGGCTTCTTCTGGACTCATCTGTACTCCTCAGGATTCCTCAGGATTCCTTCCGCGGCCCCAGGGTTCCTCACGATCCCACAGGAACCCTTGGGACCCCAAAGGATTCTTCAGGATCTCCTTCGGGTTTCTTAGGATTCCGCTGGGCTCTTCAGGAATCCTCAGGACATACTAGGGATTCCTCAGGATCCCCCAGGCTTCTTCTGGGCTCATCAGGATTCATTTGGATTCGCCAGGATTCCGCAGGACACCTCAGGACTTCTCAGGATTCCGAAGGATTCCGCAGGATTCCCCAGGACCCCCCCCCTCCAAAACGAATCCTATGGATTTCTCTTCAGGATCCATGCTGATTCCTTAGGAGCCCCCAATGTTCCTCAGGATGCCTGAAGACCCCGAAGGAGCCCTAAGGATTCCTCAGGATCCCCTCAGGGTGCCCCTCAGGATTCCTCAGGACTCGTTCGCATTCTTCAGGATCCCCCAGGATTCCCCAGGACCCACAAGGATTCCTCAGGATCCCCTAGGCTTCCTCTGAGCTCTCACATCAGGACTCCTCAGGATTCGCTTGGATTCTTCTGGACCCTTCAAGATTCCTCGGGTTTCTTCCCGAGTCCCCAGGATTCCTCAGGATCCCGCAGGAACCCGTTGGACCCCCAAGGGTTCTTCAGGATCCCCCCAGGGTTTCTCAGGATCCAGGGGCTGCTCAGGATTCCTCAGGATATCTAAGAATTGTTCAGGACCCGTAAGGACTCCTCAGGACACGTGAGAATTTCTCAGGACCCCCAAGGTCTCCTCAGGGTTCACCAGGACCCCCCCCAAAGAGTCCGATGGCTTCCTCTTCAGGATCCACATTGATGCCTCAGGATCTTCCTCAAAGGTTCTCCAGGATACCTGAAGGCTCCTTACGATCCCACACGACTTCCCTGGTTCCCCTCAGGGCGCCTCTCAACCTTTCAGGATTTCGCATGACCCCTTAGAATTCTTCAGAATTGCGCAGGAATCCTCAGGACACACAGGGACTCCTCAGGATCCCTTAGCATTCCTCTGGATTCATCAGGACTCCTCAGGATTCTTAGGACTCGTCAGGATCCATGAGGATTCCTCAGGATTCCTGCCGAGAGCCCAGGCTTCCTCAGGACCTGACAGAAAGCCTGTGGATTCCCCAAGCAATTTTCTGGATCCCGCCAGGGTTGCTCAGGATCTTGCGGGCCTGCTCAGGGTTCCTTGGGATACCTTAGAATTCTTCAGGGCCCCCAAAGAATCATAAGGACACCTCAGGACTCCTCAGGGCTCCCGAGGACTCCTCAGGATCCCCGTGGTCGTCGTCGTCGTCGTCGTCGCCGTCGTCGTCGTCGTCGTCGTCGTCGTGAGTTTCCTTGAGGGTGTCTTAGCTGCACACGTGGCCGGAGAAGGGGGTGGCGCACGGGGAGCGTTTTCTGTGGAGGGAACAGCACAGATGGCGGGGCATACGGGGCCGGAGTGTACGTTTGCCCACCGCGGCGCGAAACGGCCGCAGATGGCCTTTCGCAGGGCCGGAGAAGTCGTCGTCACACAGCGCCTCAGGCCAACAGGCCCGCGGGGCCGGAGTGTGCGTCCGTCCACCGGCGGAGTGACACCGGAGGCTCCGGCCCTGACTGGGGCCAGAGTGCACGCCTCTCCGTTGTTGTTGCTGTTGTTGGTGTGGTTATTCTTATTACAAGTATTTCATCGTGTTATTATTTCTATGGTTTTTCTCATTGCTGTTATTAGAATAATCATTTCTATTATTGTTAATTTTAATTTTTATAGTCATTATTTTAACCATTATTCTTATTATGATTATTTTCATTTTAATACTACACGTCAACTTTATATTTTTATTCCAATTATTATTCGTATTATTATCATTATTCATATTCTTCGTCGTAAGTGGTATAGCGAAGGCCTTACGGCCGCCGGTGCCGCCGATCCTGAAGGGGGACGATGACGAAGGCATCGACGATGAAAATATTCAAAGAGTGGGAGGGATGGGCAGAGAGGGGCGGAGGAGGTGAAGGTAAAGGGAAAGAGGAGGGAGGAGGGAATATACTTAGGAGGAGGAGGGATGGGGAGCTGGATGGCAGAGGAGTCGCCACGGGTTTGCCATCCACCATGATGGGGCTGGTGTGCCGCCACCAAGACAAAGGGCAGCGCGGCAACCATTTTACTGTGGATACACCGTCGGGCTGTCGACAACGACGACGCTGACGTGGGTCAGAGTCCTCAGGGGTGCTTCTTGGGGTCTGGTCGAAACGCTCGTGGGGGCCACGGGGGACAATGTCGGGGTCTCCTGGGGGCCTTTTGGGGGCCTTTAGGGGGCTTCTCGGGATCAGCTTAAGGACTCTTCGGAGCTTGTAAGGGGCCTTTTGGTCGATAGTGAGACCGATGGTGAGATTGAGAGGTGTCCCGCGGTGCCCCGTGATGTCCCGTGGTGGCCCGTGGTGTCCCGTGGTGTCCCGTTGAGTGAGATCGATCGTGAGATCGATTGTGAGATCGACAAGTGTCCCGTGGTGTCCCGTGGTGTCCCGTGGTGTCCCGTGGTGTCCCGTTGAGTGAGATCGATAGTGAGATTGATTTTGCCAGATGTTTGTTCCCCCCTCTCCCACCCCACAACGTCTTTATCACCCGAAGGGTGGTCGTATAGGTAGGTCTGATTACTATTCGTTGTGCTATTATTTATTTTCTGATTGTTTTCTGATTATTCCCTTTCTTCTTCTTCTTCTTCTTCTTCTTCTTATTCTTCTTCTTTGTTTTCTTATCATCGCCGTCATCATCACCATCACCCGCCTTCGCCTCCTCCTGCTTCTCTGCCTCCTCTTCCTCCTCCTC